TAAAGCACTTACGTGCATTCTTTGTGTCACGATTAAAGATGATCTATAATTATAGAGAAAACATAAGGAGGTCAACGAAGCGAACAATTTGCCTAAAAAGGGTCAATGAAAGAAAATTGTTGTGAATCTCTGCTCTAGCCATTCAGGCGATGTTCTCGAAAACTGATATTTCCTGATTGATCTGGCTGAACTCAAGGCCTTGAAAGTTTCAAATGGGTAGTTTGATTTTGGGGTACTTTCTTTGATGTCTAAAACAGTCTTGACAAGTTTCAAAACTTTCTCAAAAATGGCTCTAATTTTTTTTTTCTGATAGAGCAAAGGTAGCTTTAAAAATGGTGCATGTCTAATTTTCATTGAACTCTAAATGTTCCAAAATTGCAAAGTTAGAAATAATGTGAGAAAGTATGTTTTCTTACTTTATTTATTAAATCCTTCTATTCTTTTTTGTTTTAATACCTTCAAAAAATATATTTTTGAATCAAATTTTTTATGCATTATTATTTACATATATTTTGGAGAAAAAATAGGGATAGTATTGGAGTTATGATTTAGTTTACGCATTGAATTAATAAGGTTAGCAAAACACATTAGCCAGTAGCAAGTTATTGAGCTAATTAAATATGAATAATAAGCTAATTCATGTACGATCATTTATCAGGTAATCTAATGCAGACTATCATTATCCTGGGGCTGCGCAAAATTACTCTGTTGGAAGGATCAAATTCTATACCCAAATATAATGATTAAACTCAGTTTTTTCATGAATGAACATTTTAGCTTCAAAATCCTTGATAGTATGTGTCATGATATTAAGAACAGTCCGCAGAAGATTATCAATTATACAGCCATCTAAAGCACATAACACAAGTTCAGTTTGAAGATACGCTAAAAATATAAATTTCACTATTCAAGAAGTTTTGTTAATTTCCATATCTTGGATCGTGTTCAATATTTATTTTTATGCTGCTGTTTAGCATAGTTTTGAACAAAACTGGATTTAAATTACATATACTTAATAGATTGATTGAATATAACATACAAAACATTTCATATACATGGCATATATACGGTATATTTTATATATATATCGATTATAAGGCAATTTATGCAACTATCTCTGGCAGGTATCAGCTGTGTACGGTTTCATCCAATCAGGAGCTTCAACGTCACTATGGTGATGTCACTTCGTAACAAGATGTAATCGTGCACTAAATCCTGTAGCTATTTATAGTAAATTACTTCCTATAATTTGTGGTGTAGCTAGAATCCATTTTTTGTTGTTCCTTGATACCGAAAAATCGATTTGCAGCAAAATGTATGACTATTGGTCCATAGGTCTGTGTGTAGCCAATGCTAGCACCTAAACCGTTCAGCCAATTTTCTCCAAAATTGATATCCCCAGATCAATCTGAACAAACTCAAGGCTTTGTGAGTTTCAAGCAGATATTTTTATTTTTTAGGATATATTACATGAAGCCTCAAAACTTTTTCAAAATTTTCTCAAAAATGGCTCCAAATTTTTTATTAAACTTTGTCCTTGGGCAGTGTAAAAGACTCTTACGAGAATGGTGCAGGTCTGATGTGCTCTGGAATCCCAGAATATTGCTAAAGTGCAGTTTTTGGGTGTCTTCCTACAACAATATTGAAGGTGAAGCTTTTTCCTTAAAAAAGGCTGTTTCTCAAAGACATCTTAAAATAAGGTCATGTACAATTTTTGAATATATGAAAATATTAATAATTTTAGCATAATTTTGCACAAAATACAGGAAATTTTTTAAAAAATTTTGAAGATTTTTTAGCACCAAATCAAGGTGACAGTAAAAAAAATGTAGAGCTAGTCCCAATTTCAGTGAACTTTCAATATATTCCAAACTTGCAAAAAGTTTACATTTCAAAACGACAAAATTAGAGATACAAATGTTTGACTTAGATGAGGTCTGTTCCAAAATAACAGCTCTTAAATAAAAATAATATAAATTTCTAAAAATTGAAATTACAAAACGAGCTACCAACAATACAATTTCATTAAATTTGAAGTACATATTCATTTGCAAAAATCCAAAGAATAGGTGGATGTTGTTCATGTGGCTTTGCACTGCATGTAAAAGTGAAATAAATATTTGACTGAAGAATGAATATAATGAAATAATAAGTAATACAAATGTATTAAAGAATACAATTCATAGTCAATTAATCAAGGTGAAGAGAAAAGTATACACATGAAAGTTTAAATAGCTATACGATGTAAACACACGTAATTGTAACTTTGAAAAAACTCGAAAGATGACTTACTTCATTCTTTAACTTCAATTTCAAATGAGATAAAGTTTCTGAACGTACTCTATCAGCATGTAGAATGTTCCATTTGTCAACTACTTGGTTGAACAGGATTAAATACAGATTCTTGTAAAATGTTTTCCCGGTTGGCTTTAATTGATGGGCACACAGGCATATATTTTGATGCAAATGGAAATGATCTAAATCAGTACTGAGCAATTCTTCGACTATTTAGAAGGTATCAAACACCTTTTATTTTTTGTAAATAAGATGAAAAATTCTCTTTTTCATAAGGAAGTGTCAGTGAAGTATGTTGGATATTCTTAGATCACTAGGTCTTCAACGAAGTAGTATAGTTCGGAGCTGACTTGATTGCGAGGCTGAGGAATGCCCTCAGTGCTCTTGGAAGCTGCCCTTCCCCTGCCTAGTCTGCAACTACTAGCTGTCCCAAATATATTGCTCCAAGTGTCCATAGGCAAAAATTAAAATGGCACACGAGAATAAGTAAAAAAAATAGACAATAAGTAGAGCTAACAATTAAATTAAGAACAGTATACTGAAATATGACATTATTAAAATATACAAAAACCACTAACTATCTTGCTTTCTTACCTCAGTCAAGTGGACGTGCAAGATCTGCATCTGACAACAATCTGTCATCAGTGTCACTGGAATCCAAACCTCCAAGATCGATGATAAATCTGTCAATGGCGATTTCAACCCATCCTTCTCCTAGTACCCTTGTTCGATCTTAAGTGTGTGATTGGTGAATCCCTCCCAATCAACTGTAGATATAGATCTTAACGCATCTGCAGTCACTTCTTACAACTTTCAAAAGGATAAATCTCCAGTACCGTTTTCTTTGATTTTTCTCTTCATTTTAGCCCAGGCTAACTACAGGGTTTAGATCACACATATAAGGCAGCAGATGAATTACTGTATTACCAGGTGCTTTAAATGTGATGTCTACATGGTCCACTTTTTGTGGAGGTTTGTGCTGTACTATTAGTAGAAAAGTTCAAATTTTTTCAGTCTTGGAACAAACATTATTATTATTTAGCCAGTCAACCATCTGTTTTACAGCATACTTAGAAGGAGGCCTGTTCTATTGGAGGCAGTGATATGGTGTATTGTCAAGGACAATCGCACTTTTTTCGGGGAAATTTGGTAACAGCTTCTCGTTCACCCATTTTTCAAAATTAGCCCCGTTCAACTGGCCATGGTAATCACCAGTAGCTATTCCAGCCTTGAAAATCAAAGTAGCACCATGGATAAAGCCTTTCTTTGAACTGGCTCTAAGAATTGTCAGTCTGAGGAACACGTATTTGTCAAAACTCCAGGAACGTTCTCGCTACTCCAGCATTTTCCAAATGTACAATTATTATTAACCGATACAATCAAGATAAATTATGTGTTTCTTATCATTTCTAAAATTTTGAATGCTTCTCATATACCTAGCGTGCTTGTTGATAATATCAGGCCGTTCAATCAAAACTTGCTGAAGGTTATTGTTTTGCACTTAAAATCCATGGCGTGGAGCAAGCGTCGCAATGTGTGCACACCCCAAGGAAAATTAATTTTCTTTTGAATTACCATCAGCAGTTTTTGTGTGGTTGGTACTTGTTTTCTAACAGTATAAAATCATGAATGAAATCACTCTTATCAAAGTCATCAATGTGGAATTTTTTTCCTTCACAACATGGCCTTTTCTTACCTGGAGTACTCAAGGCTGACCCGCCGCCTTCAAATCCTTCTTTTCTAATTGATGTCACAATTTCAACAGATACTCCAGTATAGTTTGCTACCCGAAAATTGCTGTTATGCAGCGTGTGTTGAACACACGAATTCTTTTCTTCGTCACATTTCTTAATGAGACTTATAGTTTCCTAGCTTCACTGTGTATTGTTTGGCCTTTCCTATGAACAGAAGCCATACTGTTCCACCAAAAATCACAAACAAAATTAAAATTAATATGCTATACACTTGTTATAAGAACAACGTAAGCAAATTCTCACAACAGGAAACACGTGGGGAAGAACTGTGGGTTGAGCCTGGACTATGATTCATGCAGCAAGTGTGGCAACACCTGGCCGATGTCAGCAGTACGAGTCAGTTGTCAGAGTAAAAAGTCAGCTCCCAACTATAGAGTAACCACACAGTGTCCAAATATAGGTGATATAATAATTATTTATGCACCAGGGTATAATAAGGGTTCTAATAATCAAGCAGCAAAGAAAAGCCCAAGGGCCTTTGTCCCGAGGACTTTTTGTCGCTCAAGATCATTAGAACCAATGCGAGATCATTAATGTCCATAGTACACACAAGATTTTATTTTTTACCCATTTTTACTGAATCAGATTTACTTATTTACTAATTAACCGGATGTTAACTTGACTGTTTATCATTTCCCATTTCCCTCAATAAGGGAAAGTGAAGCATCATTCAACTCTTTTCATATTTCTCTGGTAACCACAATCCTCTCAATCCACGTAAGTTATGCAGCATGAACTAAGCTCTGTATTGACGGCAATAACAACTAGTAATGTATTAGTAAAAAAGAAATTTCTTTTTTAAAAAAAATGGAAGATACATTTTTTAAAACTTTTCTTGTTGTTTATTTGTAGGGTCTTTTCAGCAAAATTTCTGATCTATCACCAGAATAAATATAAATCAAACAGCTTTTATTCTAAAAATATTTATTAAAAATGGCTAAAAATATGTACCTGTAAGATGAGTTTCACTGCCCAGAACCCAAACAGGAAATTCAGGATTCTTGAGAAATGAGCCTACTTCACAATAACGCAAGTGTTCCAAAAGGGCCAAAAATCCAACTTTACTTTGCTTATCTACACCACGTAACTCTACAAAGAAGTAAAATTCAAGATATTCAGGCCAACAGAACATAATGAAATCACACTTCCACAGCTCTTACTCAAACCAATACTCACTCAATCCACCAACATCTTGTTCATGATCCCACACATGATTTACAGCCCGGCCAGTGATCATTAGATTTATGAGCCCTTGGCTACCATAACCATATGTACCATCTATGAAGGGTTCAGCAGGATCATTCATTTCATTTCTTATTGCATCCAGACCCTATAAAATGAATACAAACCATATTTATAATACTTTTTGTACCCGTCAAAAAAGAAGGGGGGCAGACTGAGACAATTTAATGACATTTCCTGTTGTATTATATGGCTGTCAGAATTAGACTATAAAATCTATAGATTAAACAAAAGCGGATGCATTTGAAATATTGTATTGGAGAAAATAACAGAAAATTCACTGGACAGACAGAAGAACGAACTTTCCTACTCTGGAAGAAGCAAAGCCTGGTCACTCTTTAGAAATCAAATCTATCAGACAAACATTACTATTCTATGGATTATTGAAAGCATATTGGACTATTAGAGAAAGTTATGTTAGAAACATGAAAGGAGCTAGGAGACAGGGCAGGGGAATGAGGGGATGAAGAAATCACAAAAATAATTAATTAAATTTGGATAGAAGTAATGAATAGGGCACAAGAGAGAACAGGATGAAAAAAGTTTACAAGGTGACATCAGAAAGATGTTTTGAAGAAGAGAATGGAAATCAACTGCTATGAATATCTTGGGAATCTCCATGGATCACTTGTTATCTACATACTCATATCATTACACACATAGAAAAATAAAATAAATAAATTAAATTACATCATTTCAATGTCTTACCTCCCATTTCCAGATCTTACAGGAAATTAGGGTATATCACTTATCTTACAGGAAATTAGGGTAATATAATTTGATATAGATGTAATTTTGATTTTTCAAATTACATATATTTTATAAATAAAAACTAACACTAACCAATAACAATGTAAAACAAATTTACAAAAAAATTGAAGATTACAACTTACTTTAGTACACATAACTGAATACAGAAATAATAGAACACCAAAAGTATCTGTCAAATCATCCAGTCTTTGATGATAAAATGCTTCCACTTCTTCTAGCGAATCGTATGAAAATATCCTGAAAGGAAAAAGAAATGCCATGTTGTATATTGAAAATAAAAAAGGTACGCACATATTTATATTTATCACTAATATTATATATCAGTCATCACATCTGGGTGTTCTTCACGACACATTTTGCTTTCTTCATAAACAGACACAAGCTACTTTTTAATGTCCGATTTTCTCAGATGTTCCCAATTATGGACAATAATATACGTATATTACAAGGGTATCTATCGATACTGTATTTTCTCTAAGTTCTCTCTTCACAAGATATGAATATAAATAATAATTCTCTTATCTTTTGAAGTTGTCTCAAATAAGAAGGGTAAATAATAAAAATTTATTTGTCTTAAAAGATTCATAAATCAAAATATGTAACACACACACACACAAAAAAAAATATATTTATATATTTGTGTGTGTATACATAAATAATTGTCACCTTGGACGCAATTATGCTCGGAGAATATATTCTGCAATCGTAAAGAAATCCAAAATGTGACCAACTGTTACTGAGTAACAATGCATTTTAATAATTAAAATCGTTCAATGAATGGGTTGACCCGACACAGAAAATATATATATA